CATGCTACATTATTATATTAAGTTCATTTAAATGTGCATGTAAATTAATTGTGTATGTTAAAATAGTAAATTTATTCATTTAATTATGCATGTATTATTATTAATAATTTTATTTGTTGGTTATGCTTATATTAATCATTATTAGTTAATTAAAAGTATTATATTTGTGTTATAAAGTATTATGATGATATAATGTATTATTTTGTAATAATAGTAATAATAATATAATAATAATAATTATAAAAGTTTATTAATAATAATATTAGTAATAATAATAATAATAGTTATAATAATAATAATAGTATTAAAATCAATGTCATGATGAAATTAGAGATTAGGATAGAATTTCATTAATGTGTATGGGTAGACTTAAAGCCATATGGTTGGGAATGTGGTTAATTAAATACAAAAATAGATATTTGTAATATTTATATTATATAATTTGTATATAAATTAGCTAGCCTACCTTAGAAGGAAAGAAAGGGAGTTAAACACAAATTATAAATTCTAGTGAGCCATTGTAAAAGTGTGGAAAGGAAGAGAGAGAAAGAAAGGAACTTGGACCGGTGTAGGGAATTTACCCGACTACGCGCAACCGGCGGATTTATTTTAAATCCAAAAAGGCAAGTTATTATCTACTTTTCCCCTTTGAATTAATAAATTAATTGTTTAGTTTATTTTTATGCATAGAGCCAACGTTAGGAGGTTAATAAATTATTAATGTTATTTTATTAAATTAATGAAATTTTAATTATATAAGATGGTATATATTTATTTAATATCCTATGAAATTAATAATGGCCGAAAATAATTAAATAAGGCGTTAAGGATTTTTCTAGAATTTTCTGGATTTTTCCGGGGCTTTTCTGCAATTTCCGGCGACCTTCCGACGAGTTTTCCGGTCGCCGGCAGTGGGGGAGATGACCGGAGTAATCCGGTGTGATACGGCGCACTATAGTTACTGTGCGCATGGATATCCGGCCGTTAGATGAGTAACTAATCAGCAGATTGATTCGGTGTAGTCCAATACACCATAAGATGGTGCACGCGCGAACCAGGACCCTTGGATTAGAAGAACTAAGATAGAATTATCCAGTGTAGCGCACCCACAACAAGTCCATGCAACCACCGAATCAGGAGCCGCCGCGTCAGCAAGGTACCATTAGTGCGCGCGTGGCAGCGCGTGCGCGTGCATGGAACGCTCCAGACCCGCGTGGGAGTGCGTGCGCGCGCGTGGCTGATGCCAGACGCGCGTGGAGGCGCGTGGGAGAGTGGGAAAGCTTGGCAGCGCGTGTGGGGAGCTCTGAGAGGCGCGTGGGGGCGCGTGAAGGGCCTCTGCAGCTGCTGAAAAAGTCCAGAATACCCCTAGGGACTGTTTTGTCATTACCAGGACCTTCACTATACATTTTGGGGCCTCGGGTTGGCATTTTTAGAATTAACGGGACATTATATTATTATTTTATTTCTCGTAAACTATTATAATTGTCCGATTAATATTTCTAAATATTAATTGTATCAGTTAAAGTGCGAATCGCTAGTAAACATATGTAATTAATTTAATGACTATTAATGGTATTATTTTATTAAACTGTAATAACCATTAATGTTAAATTAATTAGTGCTTGGTTTTATTCATATAAATAACCCATTATATATTATGGAATATTTATACTGTTAATCGTATATAAACCATGATTATTATGCTGTGTGCATTTCAGGAAATAAATGGACTGTTTAATTATGTCACATTTATATTATATGGATGAGTTGCCATATAGAACCATGTGAGCTGGCTAATAAGTTTAGACTCATTTATACCTTATGCATTCGTTGCGATAGACAGATGTGTGGCTGTCGGGGTATGTGGTTTAATATTATTGGCATGTGTTGCCTAATTGACATACTCGGTATATTTATTAATATTGTTGGCATGTGTTGTCTAATTGATATGCTCAGTATATTCATCAGTACTTTGAGAGGTGTTATCACTGTGTAGTTCGTTATAGTCTGTGTTGCCAGTACCGTGCACCATGTATAATAGCTGATTTCCCAGGTAGGGAAAGGCGACACTTGACCACCTAGTGTGAGTCTAAGTGATCACCGTCTATTCTGGTTGAGGTCATGTTATACATCGGATAGTTCCCGTAGGATGTATACAGATATAGTACTCATCCGATTCATAATGATTAATTTATTTGATTCTCTGATTTGGGTCATAGTGGAGAGGACTTGCTCGTGGGGTTGACCCACCATTGTTGTTATTTCAGGATACGGTCAGTACCCGTTCCAAGGTTGAGGTTAGCAGTGTGGGACCACCATCCGAACTCATCTACTCTTACGATCCAGTTCAGGGTAGAAGTTTTACGTATTATTTCAGCTTCAGTTTTTATTTACTTTTGACGTTGAACTCTCAGGTTTATATTTAGGGATCCTTGACATAGGATTTCCAAGTTGTAATGGAGTACTGTATTTAAATAAAGGATGGATGGCTGTTGTATTATTTAGTGTTCCTTTCCTGTCTAAATTCTTTTATTATCATCATTTTGTATTCCATGCTTGTATATTGCCAATTGTTTTTGATATCCCTCGTTTTTCGTGTATAAGCCTGATCAACTTATGCGTGGAAAATGTGGGGGTGTTACATAATCCCATGAAGGAGTTGATGGGTAGAGGTAGTATGCAGGTTGGTAGAGTAGGAAAAACACCGATGTCACTGTTAGCAATGAGATAGGCTCGTGGAGTGGTACATGGTGAAAAGACATGTATGTGGTGTTAGTACTCTATTGTTGTAATATCCTACGAATCATAATGAAATATCTTCTCATCCATGGACGTAGGCCGATTTTGGCTGGACCATGTATATCTTATGTTTATGTGTGATTGCTTTGTTGGCTTTCTTTGGATCTTTGTATTCGTACGTTTTCCCAACAAATTGGTATCAGAGCCAAAGGTGAATGAAATCCAGAAAACACAAGAAGTCTTAACATATGCTACAACGGGTTTTAGTTATAGGTGGAGTCAATCGGCTTGGTTACATGGCATGGAGCTCGAATAGTCAACGTGGAGCCTTGGAGGTTTGATTGATCGAGCAACGTATAGTGTGGACAATCGAAGTTTTGCAGGAGTATCGTTAAGATTGAAGTTGCAAAAGAATTGTCATGATCAATGCCATGGAAAGCGATGATTGGCTGGATGGAATTTGAGCCAAGGTGGAGATTGTTGGAAATAGTGTCTCAAATTCCTATTCTAATTAGGATTCTATTTTAGAGTTGTATTCTATTAGGTAATTTCTTATTTGGCAAGTCTTGACCTCTAAGGAATTGTAATCCTTGTCCAACAAGGAATTATGTTTGTAATTCTATAAATAAGTACATATGTTTTGGGTTGAGACTTATAGGATTGAGAGAGATGTAGTCTCATGAGGGGAGTTGATGGGTAGAGGAAGTATGCGGATTGGTAGAGTAGCAAAAACACCGGTAACACTGTTAGCAAGGAGATAGGCTCGTGGAGTGGTACATGGTAAAAAGACATGTACGTGGTGTTGGTACTCTATCGTTGTAATATCTCTACGAATCATAATAGAATCTCTTCTCATCCATGAATATAGGCCAATTTTAGCTGAACCATCTATATCTCGTGTTTATGTGTGATTGCTTTGTTGGCTTTCTTTGGATCTTTGTGTTCGTACGTTTCTGTTGCCCCAACACTTACTATAATTATTAATAGGTTAGGTGTTAGCATCACCTAATAGAAAAAAATATAGCATCACCTAAAAGAAAATTATTAATAATTTATAAAATGAAATGAAATAAATTCTCTCTCTATATATAAGTATATATACACACTATAACTATAATAACAGAGATTTGATTATGCAAATGTTAGCATATATGATAGCCACGATTTATGAAATGACTTACCATATTAGTGGAGATTTGATTATTGTTGACCTCAAGGACTTCACCTAAAGGCAATCTAAGACTTTGATGATTACAATCCATTAATGATGTTCTATGCGTAGTTGCGTACTAATGTCTACCGTGAGTTAAGTTAAAGATCTCAGCATTCATCAAGGCAGACATTACATAAAAGCACAGATGAACAAAGGCGTCATAACACAGAGAGATACGTGAAGGAAAACCCATAGTTGTTAAACGCTCAAGGTGCACAAAAGCGCAAAAGCCTCCTAGAGCCTGAGGCGCAAGGTGAAGCGCGCGTCCGACTGAAGCAAGGCGAACATTGAAAAAAAAAAAAAACCCACCCAATAAAGATGCAATAGTATATATAAATATGCAAAAGTTAGCTAAATCAATTATCTTTACATGTTTGAGTGTGAGAGTCCACCCATCATCCAAAAAACAAAGGTAAAAAGGGAGCCATTGAAAAGGAACCCCATCCATGGCAAGAGGATTGAAAATGTTAGCAACTATATTTGGAACAAAATCTAATTACTAAAAAAATTGCACTGACCAACACAAAAAGCAAACATACCCACATGCTTTAGTGGAATATCATGCTTTAGTGGAACATCAGTACCCTAAAATCAGTAACAAAATGTGCACCACATTTCATGGCAACAAAATGTGCACCACAGATTTCATATAACAAAAAACTAAAAAAAAAAAAAAATCCATAAGAATCAGAAACAAGAAGAAGAAGAAGAAGAAGAAGAAGAATCAAAAAAAGATTTCTGCCATAGAAGAAGATGAAGGAGCAGGAGAGAAAAAAAGAAAGAGCAAAGAAGAGAGAGAAGAGAAGAAGAAGAGAGAAGTTTCAGATGTCAACCCTAAGTTGTAGATGTCGACTGGTTTTCAAAGATTACGACTGTTTCTCATAGATGTCAACTGGTTCAATAACCGGTCGACGTGTTTCCTCCAAGTGTCGATCGGTTTTAACAAACTGGTCGACCGAAATGAGATATTCTTTTTAATAGATGAAAAAATCAATTGATAAACAATATATTACTACTAGAACAAGTAAAATAAGTTAAAAGAATTCACCTTCTTTTTTTTTCCGATTCCACTCATTTCACTTGGACTTTTTGTTTCTATTCCAAAATTTAAACCTGCATCATTAAAATTGAGGCACATAAAATATTAGAAACTTGATGTTGAAATGTGAATATTTTATTTCATATTGCTAGACTAAAATAAGAAGAGTAATATACAACTACATAAACAAGATACAAGATACATACAGAATTGTTGTACCAACATTTAGGCCAGAAATTTATTTCAAAGATGCAGATAATACAAGATTCATAGATTTGTAACAAAAAATAAAAAATAAAACCAACTTATACATACATGCATAGAGATGATTGGTTGGAGAGAAACTTTTGCATGTGGGAAAGACATTTTTTGGAAGCAGCGGACAGATTAGGTAGGTGGGTGAGAGATGAGAAGTAACTTTTGCATCTTAAAAGGGCTTCTAATATTCCTTTTCTGTCAAGAACATCCTTATCTAATAATATTGTTTATGCTGCTGGTGAGATTCATTTGGAAAAGGCTTTAACTTTGGGTCATGAATAAAGTGTGCTTGATAAAAGAAAAAGAAAAATGTTTCAAGAAATCATCACATATCAAGTACAAATAAAACCCACTACAGCTTATATAGTTTCAACTTTCAAGATATCAAACTATAGCTTAAAGAGTAACAAGAAAGTTAGTTCTGAAAAAAAAAAAACCTCACTTCATGGCTTTCAAAATGAAAGACAACTATGAAGAAGGAGAAGGAGGTATACCTTTGTCGTCGCATGGTCCGATTTCACTCCAAATCCGGACCATCTTCTTAATGGAATCTCAGTGCTTTCTTTGACTAACAAATTCTATGACCATAAAAAAATAGAAGTAATAGAAATAAAAAAATATATTTGTTTTGCTGAAATAAAATGTAGATTACGGTGATTACCTCAAAATGCAATGCATTACCTCAAAATGCAATGCAATGCAAATTTTGTTACTTTATATTGTGAATATATATATATATATATATATATATATATATATATATATAAGATCATAAAAAATTTCACCAAATAGGATTTAATTTGCAAAACAAGAATTACAGAGCTTGATTAGTTGATTTAGAAAGAAAAAAAAATTAAAACAGAACCCATACATACAAGTTAACAGTTGCAGGGAGAGAGGGGGGCAAGCTTGAGAGTTGAGAGACAGCGGCTGAAGCTTGCGAACGGCGAACCGGAAATGGAACAGCGGCCGATGGAAACTGAAAGATATGGGTTTTGATTTTTTGAACAATCTGAAATGATAAGCCGATATGGGTTTTGAACTTTTGATTCTTGCAGACAGATAGATAAACTGAAATATATGGGTTTTGAACGTCTTATTCTTCTAGATTTTGTAGTTTGCAGTTGCGCAGAGACACAGAGAGAGAGAGAGAGAGGGGTGAGTTCAGATATGAGACCGAGACTATAGATGTAGGCGATTGGGGGGCGGCTGAAATGATACATGTTTTTTTCCTGAGCCCTAGATGCGGCTTGATCTGGGCCATTGGAAAGTGTTAGAATAAGTGGGTTGATCCGGTGTGATGTGGCTGCATGAGGTTTCAGTGTGCCAAAGATCTGAGCCCTGGATGGGGCTTACACGTTCTGCAAGGAAAAGATTGGTGCCACAAATGCAAATTAATAAATAAATAAATCCACATTGAATTCCTTCACAATTATGGTGATTGTTAGGTTACTATTTAATGGAGTTCTTAAAGAGTATACGAGATTAGGACCCCGAACATGCGAAATTTTTATTTGATACATGGTGGATAAACGTTCCAATCATAAAATTTTATAATTTATTAATATATACTTGTGAGGCCATTTTCTCAATTCAAGAGTATTTAACTCATCCATTAAATATTAATGGTACAGGACCATCTAATAATTTATCTCCCAAATATAAAGCGTATTTATTATATGCGTGTGAGAGTGAGTTTAGGATCAAATGTATGAATGTACCACTTTTTCTCTGCATTCACAATAATTTGAATGTAAATTGTTGGACTTGGGATTGCTTGTTGTGGTTATGACCATTCAGCAAGAGGGCTATGTGGACAATGAGTTGCCAGACAGCTGCAAAAAAAACACCCACTTCACATTAATTTCCTTTATATACTCCATTTACTTTCAAAATATTGCCGCAACATTTTAATGATATAATATTTTTTTTGGGGTAATGATGCTCGCTTGCATCATTTTGGCCGAATTCTAGTTCTACCCCGACATGGCATAGACGCGTCATTCACACAAATTGTTTATTATAAAAATCTGAAAACCGAGGTCTGTTTGGCTATTGCTTTTACTTCGTATTTTTTATTTTTGCTAATGTACTATAGTAAAGTAAAAACATGAAGCATGTTTGGTAACGTTTGTGGTCATTTGAATAGTATCAAAGCATTTCCAAAATTGAGGTCAAAATCGGAAGTATCAAAATGATATTTTTGTTTGTTTTCGCATTGTAACAAAGTACGGTTCAAAAAATATAAAAAAAAATTCTTTTTAAATTAATATTTTTAACTAGCCATTCAATTTTTTAAACTTGCAACACTTTTTACCAAAGATGCCTTCACGTATTTGCATTCAAAAATTTTGTAGTAAATTTACGTTATCAAACAAGTTTTGAAAAAATGTTGAACACACTTTAAAGCAGAAACATTGGTTTTACTTCGAGTCAATGTAAAAGCATTAAGCAATTGTGGTTGCCAAACGAGCCTAAAGCTTTTTACTTTCTTTAAACAACCATTGTCCCTCTTGTTCTTATTTTTTATATTTTTTGGGTTAATTGATTACTTTTTGATTTAGCACAAATTTGACAACCATCTTCAAAGTTGGTTTTATCCTGAGGTTAGTATTTTTATATCCATATATTATAGAAGTTGTAAACTTTTAAAACGAATTGAATTATATAATTCTTTCTTTTTTAAGCGGAATTGTGAGAGAGTTGGTAGAATAATGTAAGCTTTCAATTAACGATACTTATTCACCAAATCTTAATAAAACTTGTGCTAACATTTGTTATAGGTCATTTTACAACATCCATATGCACACATCGATCTCACAGTTTTATTCCAAGGAGTTGAATAATGTTCCAATGTTTTTCAACAATTTCATTCAAAGGAGCTGTTAAGTCACACAATTCTTCTCAACAGGTGTCGCTCACCCTCCGAGCGCGCTTTCGCTCAAATTCTCACTCCTCGTGACTTAATTCTGCTGCTCTCACACTCTCGCTTCTACTTTATGTGCCTGCTATCTACCTACTGATAAATTCTTAAATATGCAGCACGCACCGCACTCCACTAAGCTGATTTGAATGAAAATAGTCAAAAGATCTTTATCTGATCCATGATGGATGTTAACAACTAAAAGTTGGTTCCAAATATATTCAGCCTCAATAGATTCAACCAACTGTTTCCTGGCAGCAATTGCCTTCTTCAACAGATCAAACCAACTAACCACTCTATGTCCAAAATCATGAATCAAGGTAGAAAGCCCTTCCACCAATAATTCATTTTTATTAAACAATGGATGGTTCAGAGAAAAGATAAACCTCTATTTGCAATGATTTTTTTCTTCTTCTTTTTTTCTTTTTTCATTTAGGAAAAGAATTAGAAAACTTGACATGAAATTTGAACGACCAAAGCCACCAAGACAGAGGTAGTCCAGTAAAAATAGATTTTATTGTAAGGATATATATATATCTATCATATTCATAAAAACTGCTAATATTGCCTAAGAGAATCAACCAAAACACCAATTGAGGGTAAATTCAGCTTCCCCTAAAAACCTCATGGCCAAAAATTGCTAATTCTGAAGCTCTTCGTAGCCTAAGGCAGGCAGTGATCCAATATCAGTCCACACATTTTCCTTCCCCAACACTTGGAAATTTCATGTGTAGAAATAACCCTAACCTTGACCTGGAAAAGTGCATAAATAACCAGAGAGAGATGAAAGGACTCCCCTAGTCAATATATTACTTTCCTAGTGGATGCATCATAAATTCAAATGGCTTCTTGTTGCTGCTTAAAGAGAGAGAAGTGGAAGCAGAAAATATGGCTTCCATGCTCACTAACACTGGAAATCTAAATAGAAAAAAAAATTCAACATCAGCGCATCAAAGAATAATATGAACTAAAAAGCTGCTATTTGTGATCCACTTTGCTACTAAGGTATATAAGCATTGAGAATTCTAGTGATTAGTTCCTTCTACATAGCATACAAGTTAAATTCACGCGTTAACTTGATCGATATCAAAAGTTGAGAATGACTAGAAAAAAAAATGTAATGAAATTAAATGATTAGATATGTTTTTTTTTTTATTTTCTAGAGTAAAATATTGTTTTTACCTGAAATAATGTAATAATATAGACATTTAACTCATTTTAAAGTAATAATGTAATGAAATTGAATGATTGAATATGTTTTTTTAAGTACATGTCTAACCAAAAGTGTCGGACACATATCCCATATTCATGTCCGAAGAATATGTGTCCGACACAAGTACTTCACTACTTTTGAAGAGTCTATGTAACAAAAGCGTTCTCAAAGCTCTAACTATAACTATTGTGACCAATTCAAAAAAAAAAAAAAAATGGACGCATTTTTATTTTATTTTTTCCCTTAAAAACACTTTATGAAATCATGTAATTTTTTTTTAGAAAGTATTTATGAGATAGTTGATAGACTTGCACCAACAAAGATATTCTTAAGCAACTTAAATGTCAAACTCAAGGTTTGGGCAATTAAGAAAATATAAGCCAAGATTTGAGCAGCACGCTCTACTACACTCACACTAAAACATGCAGTCGTTTACATACACTCTCTTTTGAAGAGGGAATGCTTGTACCATCAACCTATCAGCGAGTTCAATAATTAATGGCACTTACTAGTGTTAAAATTGTGCACTGAAGAATTGATTCAAATGTTTCCAATTTTATTATTGCATATTGGTTCAATGTAATGGTGAATATCAAATTCATTGTGCTGCCTTTTTTTATTATTTTCGTACAATTATGAGACTATAACATGGTTCTAACTTTTTTCATGAACTAAAAAGGTTCATCATTTCTGTACATAATATAACTTATCGATTAACCATTAGATGGATCGAACATGTCTGCAATTAATTGGACCGGACCGCCTCTTGCCAATAACCGATCAATTAGTTTTTGCAGGATGAAGAATGTTCAGAGTAATCCTTCCTCTAGAATTGACGTAGGGATTTATCAGCAATGGGCTTAGTGGATTTTTATTTATTTATTTGAGTACTGTTCATATACTGCATTACCTTTAATAAGGAGTGAGTGTCCTCTTTTTCCTTGTGTAACAAAACAATTTAAACATGAACTTCTCTTGGTGCAAAAATTGATATGAACTCTTCATTTGTATAAAACATCATGTATCTCTGTAATATGCTCTCCATGCCAAAAAAATAAAATAAAAATGTGCACGTTATGAACCGTTGTCATTTAATAGCCCAACTCATAACTAAGTTTGTTTTTTTTTTTTTTTTTTTTTTTTTTTTTTTTTTTTTTTTTTAAATAACAATAATTCTTGATCAAAATATGTGATGACGATAAAATATAAATGTAATTATTTCCTTTATTGAGAGTAGTCTCAGGCGAAGAGCAATTTATATCTCCACTTCCCTCCTACTAATGACAAACTCATCCACGACTATAGAAATGGTCACTTTTGGTATTTTATGTTGATGTGCACCTATTTGCTAGCTGGTGGGAGATTAAAAATATATTAGTGACTTTTAAGCCAAGTTGCTCTAATCTTTTTTTTTGTCCCTTCCAAAAATTGCTCTAATCCTAAAAGTGAGTATTAGGAAATTTTTTATTTTTTGCCATTAGTAATATAATTCAAATACACCTTTTAAGTTATAGGCTTATACAATTACATGTGTACAAATCCTAATCTTTATAAATAGAAATTCCTTTCAAATTATAAAGAATATCCCATTAATAAATTCGACACAAATATAGTACTTGCATCCACACTACTTCATATACAAATCATGTGTTGTGCCCCACTTATAAATTATGCAAGCATATATATATATGCACATGACTACTTTATGCCCCTTTTACTGTTCATTGGGAAATATAATTAATGTATGGGCAATGCTGTCACAAAGGACACACTAATTTGGTTCAAAGATACTCATTTATTTCACTTGAGCAGCCTTGTCTTTATTGTATCACCTCTCTTAAATCAGAACATAAAAATTATGTATAACCTGTCACATTTGAAGTTTCATAATGACTGGTTTAGGTGAAGAATGGTACTAAATTTATAAATGCAACAGTAAATGTAGGTCTACTCTAGTCATATCAATGAAAAAAAAATTTAAGTTATAACTTATGCAAATAGTTTAGTAGGTGAAGAATAATAAAGTAAACCAATTAGATCACTAATTTCGAGTCTAA